TTTGTTTTCATCAGAATTTTCTTGACATTTTTCCCGGGAGTCGACCTTTATCTTGCGTTAAGAATGTGCAGAGTACAGCCAGCTGCCATTGCTGTCTGACTGCCTGCCTGGGTGGGAGTCTTAATCTGTCGATTTACCAATGAATTTAAACCTGTATATATATATAATATATATAATATATATATATAAATATATATATATATATATATTATAATTATATATATATATAATATATATATTTTTTCTTTTCCTTCGATTCTTCAGCAGGGAAAAAGTGGCAGTCTTGGAAATGTGTACTTACATTTGTTGTGGTTCATTTTTTTAAAGGATAATTTGGTATTATGATAATGTAGTGGTAATGTGATGTGTGTTATCCCCGGCCAGGCTTGGGTCGACAGTGAGCTCCCTCGACCAGACCATGACTCGCTCCCTGGGCTCCCGCGGCTCCCTCTGCGATGAAGCTGCTGACGACTGTGATAATATCAACGTCGTCGTCAGGTAGGTACTCTCCCTTCTACTGCTGCTGCTGCTCACCTGACTCGTACACAAAAACTTTGTTTTTACGCAATTAACTTTACAAACTGAGCTGTTATGCTACCTTTGCTCGTCTTAAAAAAAAGATCTAAAATATACTTCCGACATTCATGCTGCAGCTGCTCACAACAGTAGGTTAACTTTCAGAGCAGCAGATGTAAGAACATTAGAGTAAAACACAACAGAAGGCCTACTGGCCCATGCTAGGTAGGTCCACGACTGGACCGCTGGGGCGTTGATCCCAGGAATGCCCTCCAGGTATACCCAACCATTATCCTTTAGAAATGTTGAGAGACATGACCATACACTCGGCCCAGTTTTATTTTTCCCAAAATTAGGATTTTGCCAACTATTTTTTGTTTTCAGATTTCCGTAAATGTTGTATACTTGCAGTACATGGTTTCCACTAGCAACTATAACGAAGCTGTAATAATGTTGGTAAGATTACTGATAATGTTAGGTAAAAGGACCATAAGAACTTAATTTTGACTTAGGTTTCGGGAGACGCATGACACGTTTCTGTACATCTGCTATCCTTGTTCCCCCCCCCCCCTAATGTGTTAGTAGATTGTTGAGTCAAATATGGGGAGAAATGTGAAGAGGATAGCGGACTACAGACAAGTCTAAATAAACTCTGGAAAGAGTTGAGGCTGGATAACAGCTCCTAACATGTTAAATTAACCGTGAAAAACGTACTCAAAACAGAGCTGAGAAAACTTTTCATTTACACTTACCTGTAGCATTACTTTGAGATACAGCAACTTTGTCAAGCCGTTACGGCATGACAGAACTTCTGGAGAGCAAAATGTTGTCAATGAAAATGTGGCATTAGTTACATTTGTGTCCTTTTATCTAACATATCACGAGATTGACTAGGCAGCTAGCTGCAATATATCTCGACAAACTTACGTGGTTTTCTTGGTATTTCTGCCAGTTTTACTCTGAACTGTAAAGTTGGTTTAATACAATTTTGACAAATATGGTGATGAGAATAATAATCATAAGATGATACAGATTTTCATTGTGCTGAAATTCTTTCCATAATTATTTCATTAGTTCGTCCCTCAATGACTGGTTCTAGGCCGCCTCAATTCAATTTCCACATGACACATTGCTTATACAGAAATGGATGACAATTGATATTGCATGCAGAAAACTCATGGTTTTACAGAGTATTTCGGAATATACGTCCTTATGCATTCTAATTAATCCGTTGTACTATCCTGGGTCTTTGTTATACATAACAAAGGCCTAGAATAGTGCTCCTTTATATACAACGTGCAAACTGACTATAGCATCCCACGATATAATGTTTACCTTTCTACTGTGTGGAAAGCCAGTTGATAGAATCTGAGAGCTAAATTTAGACAAATGACCAAAAGCCTCACGTAGCATCAGGAGATATTTTTCCATCTCTCCTGATGTAACGAATGCCTCTTTGTATCATCTGTTTATTTATATAATTATTCAAAATTATATGACATGTATAGTAATGAATATATGATGCAAAGAGGCATTCCTGGCACTGACTTAATACCCCATGAACACTGCCCATATATATTGGTTCAAAAAAAGAAGACACTTTTTTTTATTTATTACTTGAAGAAAACCAACGTTGTGGAAGGCCTGAGCTTGCTACTACCTGCAGCTCACAAGACTGCCATCCACACGAGCCCCTTTGGGGCGGGGCAGATGGCAGACCAGAGGCCTAGCTTCTCCCTACGAGCCCCGTGAGGGCGGGGAATGTGGCTAGGCCTGGGGACAGTTGGTCCCAAAGATGAGGGGGTACTTGTACCTCCTCCCATGGGAGACTTAAGTCTCGAGACACTCCCCAGATAGGGAGCCAAGGCCGGGTCACCACTACTTGGAAAAGACCCGGGCCGGGAGAATACCGGCGAAAAAAAAAAAAAAAAAAAAAAAAAAAAACGTTGTGGCTTAGTGAAAAATGTTAGGTTTTCCACTGGTTTTAAATACACTTCAAAAACCACCGTTCCTTGAGGAGGAAAACTTTGTATTCTGTGCCCCGAGCTGCACCTGTGCTACAGATCTCTGCTTCCCAGGGAAGGATTCCACATCAACATTACACATTGTAGCTCGGATTTATTATACTGGTGATCTTTGGTTATTATGGGTTTTGAAATAAGACTTGAAATTTAATGAAAGGTTATTTTAGCATTAAAAGAATACTTTTCTCATAGTTTGATTACAACATCAAGTTATTAGGTTAGAGAATGTTCGTAAGGAAACAGGACAAGTTTCCTGATGTGGGTCTTAACGGCGGGTCATCTAAGTCATTAAATATGGAATGCACAGGAGTGTACCTAGCTGCCACAGTAACGATCCTTTATGCTAGTGAAGGGATCTTGATCCAAGGTATTGAAATAATCCATCCCTTTCATGGATCAAAGTGATCACCTCCCATTTCACTAACACTGTCTGACCCCTCTAGCGCCTTTCCATAAATGTAAGAATAACAATGACAGTTCTGTGATCATTGTACGAGTTTTTTATTTATTCGTAGGGAAATAAATTAACTGAGGCAGATTTCCGTCATAAGACGAGTCGTTCAGTGATGCCGACAGTATAGCTGGGTCAGCAAGACGGCGTCTCCAAGGACACATGTAAAGGTCAGGTTGGGTTTTGCCCTTAATTTTCATTGTAATAATAACAATGTTGGGTAGCTGATGACTTGCATCAGACCAGAGCTGCAGCCGCTGTTGACACGAGTTTTGGCTTGGAAATATTTCACTACCGTGACGCACAGGTAAAACGCTACCCGCATATCCGTGGGTCTCCAGTTCACGCCCCGTTATAACACCTTCTCACATTAACAGATTCATTGACTAGAAGCCCACCATAAAAGTGCGAATCATGCAACACAGGAAGATGGTGTTCACCCAGGCAGTCTAGTTTGGAGTGTGGGGCTCCCCGCTCCTCTGACCTACTAACCAAATATCATCCACTAGGACGATGCTCAATATTTTATAAGGAAGCTTAAATATCACACTTATACAAGAATCAGGACTAAATATACATCTTGAGTGATGTAGCCGATACTGCAGCAGCTGTATGATGCAGCTGTGGCTGATGCTGCAGCTGTATGCTGCAGCTGTATGCTGCAGCTGTATGCTGCAGCTGTATGCTGCAGCTGTATACTGCAGCTGTATGCTGCAGCTGTATGCTGCAGCTGTATGCTGCAGCTGTATGCTGCAGCTGTATGCTGCAGGTGTGGCTGATGCTGCAGGCGTGTGTTACAGCTAAGTTGTGGCTGCTTTAAATATTATTGCATAGGACCTCTGCACCTCTTGTATCTAATCTGATTGCCTCTCGTGTCCCTGGAGTTGCGTAACCCCTGTGGGTTCATCCCTCCTCCAACCCCTTAAATCACATTTGATGTTCACTGATGAGGGTGCTTTTGGAAGACTCAAGAAGAGTCCTAAATGTTAGTAAAGGAGTTTGACGAGTTGGAAAAGAGTACAATTGAAAGTAAAAACAAGAAAGTGGGCAAGGTGATGAGGGTAGAAGTCTATGGAATGAAAAATTGAAAGCGAGACTAGGAGGAAGAAATGTGGAAAACTTGAATAGATTGACAATTTTGCCTGGTTATGTGCCGATTGTTGGGGCTATGAAAAATGAGGTGAATCACTGAACAGATGAAGGAAAGAACCCAACAATGAAATGAAGAAATTTTTAGCTGAATAGGAAAAAAAAAGCTAAGAGTATAGTAGTACTGACGTATTGGCATGGATTAAGTCATGGCCCTTCACTGTTGCAGGAAGGAAGAGCCTGGAGGAAGATGGGATCTTAAAAATTCATGTGGAAACAGAGAAAGAAATCGAGCAAGAATGTGTAACTCTGGTGGGAGGGAGGTGTAGGGGACGTTCCAGGTGGAGTTAAAAGAAGGGCAAGAAAATGCTGAATATAGAGACTTGAGCATCTGACATGTGTATGTCAGTCGAGACGGAGCTAAAGAGGTGTTATGAGGAAGCGAATTTGAGGACTTGGCGTGAAAACATGCTTAGAATATTTTAATTTTAAAATTGGGGAGTATGGTGCCTGCACTCTGAAAGCCGAGCTGTTATGATTTTTGTGGGTTATGGAATTGTGAGGCCTCTGCACTTCTGGAAAAACTAGTAGGGAAAGAATGATGAATGTGTTTCTTTGGGTCACATTACCATGGTGGATAATGTGTAATGTATTCAAGGTAAGTTACCAAGACTTTACCCAAGAGTTAGAATGATGACGTACTTGACTTTAAACTTGGTGTAAATGTGACTTAAGTGACGTCGTTATTTAGTGTGAATAATTGTGAAGAAAACTTTAAAAAGTCAGACTTAAATCTTTTTTTAGATTGTTTAAACCCGTGTGCGCCTTGCAGTGCAAGGAGGGAGGAGGTTCCATTCTCAGTCATTGTAGGTTATATGTAATCAGCCAGGCTGTTGGTGAATGTTTCATCATTGGGGGCGGGTGCACCACAAAGTTCTTGGGATTCTGGTATCCAGTATTGTAGGAAAAAAATTATCTAACGCTATGCAAGTCATTTTGTTTACGAGCCCGACACTGTTCATGTTGCTGCCCGCTTATGTTCTAACTCCCTAGTTCTGATTTAGCAGTGTAAGAACAAAATTGCTGGTGTTACCCGGTAATTATCCTTTATTTTAGCTCTTTTCATCTCTCTAAGTAATTAAAAGCTGGAGTGGTGGAGTAGGTTGTGATGGTTGGCAGAAGGTTTGTTGATACAATCCTTTGATATTCTAGTTGATTGGAAGGTGAAAACTCTCTTAAATACAGTCTCGGGAAATGGTAAAACACACAAGACTAAAATTCACCCATCTTTAAACAGACATTTACAATGACATGTAATTTGTCATGAGAGCTGATTGTGACTGACATAAATAATGGATCTATGGGTGACAATAACAGTCAATCACAAGTGTACTGTGCACAAACAAGCACAGTAATGTATTTACGAACCATGACACAAATCCGTATAATCCTGGAGTAAAAGCACATCAACTCGCATATCAAATTATATCTTTAAGTCCTCTACTAGACAACCAGCAAAAGTACAAATTCTCACTTAGTATATGAACTAATTCCACACAGGGCATAAAGTTCAAGAAACCTCTGCTCTGAGACTGTTCAACACTGGACATAGCAGACAAGAACTAAGGAAACTCACCACAGTGTAAATAATGTGTGAGCGTAGCCGTTTCAAAGAGATGCTGAACGGCATATGAGCACGGTAACCAGACCAATTAGTTAGTCCACTACCGTGTATCTCAAAGCGAGGATGGTGGACGGTTGCTCCTCGCAGGGAGACATAAGCTTCTTTCCCTGTTTCTTGTGCAGCTTCTTCCCCTGCTTCTTGTGCAGCTTCTTCCCCTGCTTCTTGTGCAGCAGTTATCCAAGTAAAGTGTGGCGGCACCTACGGTGCTCATCACCTTCTCCTAGGGTGAGGGACTGATTACCTCGTCTTCCACTGTCTTCTGTATATCTAGTAGGGTGGGCAGGTTGGGCAATGCCACACCTCATTGGCTGAATTTTTTAGATTTTATGACGTCATCTTCTAGAGGTATGTAGCACTGGTTTTTTGACCCCAGGAACTGGACCTATCCTCCACTTCCTTGGATTGAACCTTTCTGCCTCACATTTCGCTCGTGCTGTACGACCCAAAGCTCTATGATTTAGCTCCTTTCACATGAATGATAATAGTGAATTACCGAGGTCAGTCTCGAGGCCCATAATATACCTTCTTTAGGAACTAACGACGAAAAGATTAACTTTTTTTTTTTTTTTTTTTTTTCGACCGCCTCAGAATAGCTGGAGTGATGTAATCACCAGTGTTGTTGATAGTGGTTGTGGTAGTTAATCTTGCATGTTGGTTGTGGGTTTTTGGTTTTGGTTGTATTGTGTGTGTTGTGTGTGTGTGTGTGTGTGTGTACTCACCTAGTTGAGGTTGCGGGGGTCGAGTCCGAGCTCCTGGCCCCGCCTCTTCACTGATCGCTACTAGGTCACTCTCCCTGAGCCGTGAGCTTTATCATACCTCTGCTTAAAGCTATGTATGGATCCTGCCTCCACTACATCGCTTCCCAAACTATTCCACTTACTGACTACTCTGTGGCTGAAGAAATACTTCCTAATATCCCTGTGATTCATCTGTGTCTTCAGCTTCCAACTGTGTCCCCTTCTTACTGTGTCCAATCTCTGGAACATCCTTTTCTTTGTCCACCTTGTCAATTCCTCTCATATTTTTGTATGTCGTTATCATGTCCCCCCCCCTCTCTCCTGTCCTCCAGTGTCGTCAGGTTTTATTTCCCTTAACCTCTCCTCGTAGGACATACCTCTTAGCTCTGGGACTAGTCTTGTTGCAAAACCTTTGCACTTTCTCTAGTTTCTTCACGTGCTTGGCTAGGTGTGGGTTCCAAACTGGTGCCGCATACTCCAATATGGGCCTAACATACACGGTGTACAGGGTCCTGAATGATTCCTTATTAAGATGTCGGAATGCTGTTTCTGAGGTTTATTAGGCGCCATATGCTACAGCAGTATTTGGTTGATGTGCGCTTCAGGAGATGTGCCTGTGTTATACTCACCCCAAGATCTTTTTCCTTGAGTGAGGTTTGTAGTCTCTGACCCCCTAGACTGTACTCCGTCCTGCGGCCTTCTTTGCCTTTCCCAAATCTTCATGACTTTGCACTTGGTGGGATTGAAAATCCAGGAGCCAATTGCTGGACCAGGTCTGCAGCCTGTCCCAGATCCCTTAGTAGTTTCTGCCTTTTCTCTTCGATCGAGTGAATTCTTCTCATCAACTTCACGTCTTCTGCAAACAGGGAAAACCTCAGAGTCTATTCCTTCCGTCATGTCGTTCAAAATACCAAAACAGCACTGGTCCTAGGGTGACCCCCCGCGGGACCCCCCCTGGGCACAGGTGCCCACTCTGACACCCCGCCACGTACCCTACTT